AAAAAAGTCTCTACGCCAGAAAGCTGCGGATGAGCTGAAACATTATTACCGCGGGTTCCACTTGCTTTGGATCGATACCACAGTGGCTGCCCGGATGGTGTGGAGGCTGCTGCATGGTCAGGTCCTCACGAGGAGGGAGAGGCGAAGGGTAAGTGCCAGGCCCACAAACGCCTTGCTAAAACGATGCGTCAGGAGGCTTGCTGTGATGAAAGGCGTTCAGCCGCTCGGTGCCCAGGCTTCTCTGGAACGCGAGTTTCTTGTGTCTGACTGAATCATGACGTCTGCTGTGCTTTTCTCTGTGCAGCTGCTGAGAACTTGCGCAGATCTCTTCCGGCTGGTCCCCTTCCTGGTGTTTGTCATCGTCCCCTTCATGGAATTTCTGTTACCTGTGTTCCTGAAGCTCTTCCCTGAAATGCTGCCCTCCACGTTTGAGACGGAGTCAAAAAAGGTTTGTGTCCTTTCTGAAGATGTAGACCCTATACCCCAGCTTGTTAGAACATCCATACAGCTGCGTACAGAGCCGTTGTTTCCTGCCTGCTGCTGTACACGGGTGTCACACACACGTCTAGGCCGGGCATTCCTAGCTCATTCCCGTACAGGAGAGCAGTCCTATTTCATCTCTATCCCGGAATCCCTGCCCTTCTGATTTTGAAGTGGAATTTCTAATTACGTTTTATTTCCTAAATGAAGGAAGAAAAGCAGAAAAAGAAATTGAATGCAAAGCTGGAGCTAGCAAAGTTCCTGCGGGAGACCATTGCAGAGATGGCCAAAAGGAACAAGGCAGATACAGGTCAAGGAAAACAATTCTCTTCTTACGTGCACCAGGTAAGACGGGCTGCGCTGGGAAGGGCAGCAGGCGTACTTAGGCCGGCTTTAGCGCTGTTGTTTGGGGCGGAGGACAGGGGATTTGTGCAAAGATTGCCGAGAGGTTTGACAGCGCAGAGCTGTCCTGTCAGGCGTTACTGCTGACTGGGTGCCCTCCTGCAGCTCACACCCTGCTGACGCTGGCTTTTGACCCCCGCTGCCAGAGCTGTCTGTACAGACAAGCCTCTCCATCCTGGAACAACAGTGAACGTTTTACCCTGTGAAATCCTTGAAGTGGCCACTCAAAAAACCTGTTTCACTTTGGCCTTTGGACTGTCTCATTCCGTTTCCATTCCACAGACGGGAGTGCCTCTGCGGGAGACAGGAGGGGCTCCTTGCATAGAGCGGGGGAGCGGATTCACGGACTGTCACTCTGTTCAGGTTTGGCTTTTGGCCCCGATGCCTCTGCTTTGTTTAGATTCGTCACAGCGGCCATCAGCCCAGTACCCAGGAGATCGTACGCTTCTCCAAGCTCTTTGAGGACGAGCTGACCCTGGAGCACTTGGAACGGGCACAGCTGGTAGCTCTTTGCAAATTGCTCGAGCTGCAGCCCATTGGCACCAACAATCTGCTCCGCTTTCAGCTTCTGCTGAGACTCAGAACGATCAAGGCAGATGATGAAGTAAGTTTAAAATAGCACAGATCGAACCGCTTTGGTGGCACGGAGGCTTTTTGCAACCTCAGGTTCTGCCCTCTGAGTCACAGACTGCCTGCTTGACACAAGGCATGGGTCACTGCCCACACTCCGTCCTCAGAGGTGAAGTTTGCTGTTGATGGGCATGGGATTCTCCCCATGAGAGATTCCAGAGAAAAACAGGATGAGAATTCATCTTCCTGCACCCTTGCTGCCTTTGGGGAACCCTAAGGAGTATGACACTGCAGATGCTGTTGCTGTTTAGAACACCTTTGTGTTTTTATTCTGGAGTCATACTAACTCATAAAAAAAGGGAGATTCCAATTCTGGAGTAAATACTACATGGAAACACCAGATTTTAACCAGCTGAATTCAGTATGAGTTTATATTAGTTTATAAAGTGGCTGGATTTATATAGCATGGGGAAGGCCAAGGAGCAATCTGCCTGCTGTTCACAGCTGACTAACGGGGTTGTTTAGAAAGTGGGACCAGACTCACAGGTGCGTAGTGAAAGGACAACAGGTAGTGGCCATAAGTTGCCGCGAGGGAAATTCCAACTTGATAAGAAAAAAAATTAAAATCAGCGAGTGGGTGAACAGTGGAACAGGTTGTCTGGAGGTGGTGAAATCCCCATCCCTGGAGAGGCGCAAAGCAGAAGTGGAAGGGCTGAGCAATGTAAAGAAACTTTGACGTTAACCCTCTTTTGAGCAGGAGGTTGGACTGCAGACCTCCAGAAGTCCCTTCCAGCCTCCACCTTGTGATTGTGTAGGAACTGCAGTTTGAGTGGTGTTAAGAATCCTATTACGACACGGAGGAAAGACCGGAAAACTCGCTAGCAAGAGGCGACCAGTTCCGAAAGGCGTGTGCAGCTCACCACAGGTTTGGCTTCAAGCCTGCCAGCTTGACAGTCCTCAGGGTCACTGCCTCCGAAGGAATTCTGCAGACCTGTAGGATCACATGTGAAAGCGAAACTCTCAGTACTCGGGGGGGGGAAAACAGAACAATCAGGATCAGAGTTTTCCATCCTCTGTAGCTGAAGACTATCCATGTTGCAGGACAGAACGAATCGACAAAGTCCGTTCTGTCTCATCGTGGTGCTGGTATGACTCTGTGCGCGTTGACCTGAACAGACATTTCTTTGGGCTCAAGCTCATCAAGCGCGTGGGGTTTTGGCGTAGTCTGTGCCTAGGGTAGGAACGTGCCTTTTGATTGCAGATGATTGCCGAGGAAGGAGTCAGTGGCCTGAGCGTGCCTGAACTGCAGAGCGCCTGCAGAGCCAGAGGGATGCGATCGCTGGGTCTCTCAGAGGAGCAGCTGAAGGAACAGCTCAGACAGGCAAGTACGCTCTGGTCTGTCGTTTTTGGCAAGGTTTCTCCTAGGACAGTGGCGTGCAGCCTTCAGACAGCAGGCACAGTTTCACTAAGAGTCCATGCAGGTGTTTCTAGATGGATTCTCCCCTGCATAGCTGAGCTTTAAGGCGTGAAGTGTCCAGATTATGCCTTCGACTAAAGAGAAAAGCAAGTGGCATCAGGGTCAGCTAGAAGCAAGGTGAAGTGGGGAGGCGGAATACGTTTTAAACTTCTAAAGTATTTGGTATGACTATATCCTCAAACTATTGTGACAAAAAGGGCTGGCCGTGTGGGTCATCTATGTATCGGTAGCCAAACGAGACATCGTGGCCATTGGTGCCACTGAGTGCTGGTGAAAGAGGGAATGGAACTGAGTGGGTTGGAGTTTGCGAACTCGGGATTGTACGGTTTGATTGTTGGACTCTTTCGCTGCTGTCCCCAATGTTGTACCCTAACTGTTACCAATAAAAGAAAAAACGAAATGATGATACAGTGGGAAACACCCCACACTACACCTCTGGTCTCCGTGGTACGTTGGGACTATATTGGGCACTCGAGATCATGGCGCGTTGCATACCAAATTGAGACAAATCTACCGGACTTGACTCCAGGTGGACGGGCCACCTTTACTTAACCCGGAAAAGGAACATGTATCTTATATATGTTCGATAACTAGCCAAGACTGATAGTAGAGCCAACACCAATCTTTCATAAGGGTTCAAGCAGATTCCAGGTACTGCATTTCGGATAAGCTGCAGATAATTCAAAGCACTTCGCTTTCGCTGTTGGCTGTTTGTCAGCCGTGATGTCGGTACCTCACCTGGAGTAGCTGGAGCCTTCCTCTCTGGTGTCTGTTCCGTGCGGTAACCTGAACTCGTCAAGACTATTTCTTCTCATGGTGGTAACTTAAAGCTGTATTAGCCAAATGCAAGATAACCAAGATCTTTAAGGGCAAAGAGTGCTATATAAAGAAGTACTGATGTAAAGCCAATATGAAATCACTTTTCCTTCTGTTCCCTCCTAACAGTGGCTGGATCTACACTTGAAAGAGAACGTTCCACCTTCCCTGCTCCTGCTTTCCCGTGCCTTGTACTTGATAGACATAAAGCCACAATCTGTTCCAGTTCCACAAAGCAAGGTGAGTTGCTTGAATACAACTTTCAGGTTAATAGTTGAACTATTACACATTATAAAAATGAAGCACTGTAGCATGAAACTTGTTCGTTGATCCTCCAAGTGGACTGAGGTTTTAACTGTGCTGAACTGTGTGTTCTTCTGTAGAGAGGTGAAACTGCTGAGATGATGGCATCTGTTCCTGAAGGTCAGGAGACCCTGGTGGATCCTGCCCCCCTTGTACAGGGAAGAAAGGTTAGAAAGTAGCAGTCTGCAAGTAGGAAAGTGAGCGTACAGTGCTGTAGTCTTTGGGAAGAGCAGGTGAACAAACCTTTCCAAAGCTAGACAACACCCAGTGTTTGACAGCATCGCACAGGAGCAAGGTCCGTTCTTGCACTGTGTGCGTGTTTTTGCCCGAGAGCCTCACCGTTGTGTTCACTAAGAGGCAGTGAAAGCCTACAGAGAGCTGCTGTGGCACGTCTGGTCCTGTTGCTGGAAGCAGCTGGTTGTTCAGCACCGTGCTGCTGGCCTCCAGCAGAGGAGCACTCTCGGTCTGCTAAGTTGCTTTATTCGCATAAACACAGGGACTGCAATCTGGGTACACTTAGCTCGGAGAAGCCAGCTAAGGGTGGCTGGTTTTCAGCTCTCCTAGTGAACTTGGCCTGAGCTGTCCAGGACAAAAAGAGCCAAAATATCTGGAGTAAGAAAGCCAGAGCATATGGTTCTCAGCATGAGGCTGAAGTCAGTTCCTTGGATTAGTCCATGCAGATAAAAGTAGCAATAGAAATTAAAGGAGAATATTGTGTCAACTGCTAGAAGTATTTCCAAACAGTGCTGTTAAATTGCGTAGGGGAAGCGGTGGAAATGCCGACAAACAGCTTCACGAAGGTGCATTGCAGGGAGCAGCCCTGTCTGGAAAGGAGCAGGGACTGCCGGGGGTCTAGCTGGAGCTTTGTTTTCTGAGGAGGGGGGCGGTCTGTTTCTTAAAGCTGCTTTCTTGTTAAAGAATGAAGAATTTGTATCTCGGCCAACCAAGGAGTTGCCAGTCTCAGAAGTGTCGATGAAGCCTCCCCCACGAGAGGTAAGCTTTTCAAAATTATTGGGCTTTCCAGAGGAGATTGTTCTTCACACAACTTGCAGTCAAACTGTGGAAATTGGTGCCACAAAATGCTGTGAATGTGGAGTTCAAGGAGCAACTGGAGAAAATGTGGACGAGAACTGCACCGAGAGCTTGTAAATACAGAAATGCCACATGTGAGAGGCTGCAGTCAATGTGGGGGGAGGTAGCAGAGCCCTGTGGGGAATCAGCAGCGTGTCCGCTCCTTGTGCTCCGTCTTCCTGATCTGCTTTGGACCCCCGGGACAGACCAGCCTGCCGTCAGAGCCACCACAGTGTGAAGGGCCAGTTTCTATCTGTAAAAAATACTACTACAGTGACTTCCCTTTTCTTTTGCCTAGTTTCTTTCTGTGAATATTTAATGTCAATTTAGCTGCTGAGGTATAAATCTGGGATGCCCACTTAAGGCATGTTTGGGAGCCCAGGCTGCATTTTATCGAGAGGAGAATGCTCCTTTACCCTGAAGAACTTTGAGCTTAGTCAGCTGTTATTCTCTGGAGCAGCTTCCTGTACGAAATGGGAAGACACCTTCTCCAGAAGAGGTTTTGAATTTTTAGAAGTGTTTGTATTGGTACTGCCTAAGATCTGCAACTTTCTCTTACACCTAGGCTAAGATGGAAGCATCTCAGAGCAGCAAGGCCGGCACCAACGGCGTCTAGCCTCAAGCCAGCAAGGACTGCCTGACGTGGGGGAGAACAGCTGTCATCTCTGCACCTCCTCGAAAGGGAAGAGTGGTTTTCCAGGAGGCTGCTCGACACAGAAAGGTGTCGTAGCCCTCAGGGGCCTCTCCGTCCATTCCAAGGTTGTTAGCAGCTAGGCCACGCTAAGGCTGCCTGGGTAGCACCAACTCCTCGTTTGTACTGGATCCCCATCCCCTACCAATTTAACTTATGTTGTAAATATATTAATGACGGCGCTACCGCCCGTGCTGTTGCTGAACAGGTGCTTGTGCTCTTGAGCCTTAGGAAAGGCAGCTTTTCATTGTCGGAAAGGCCTGGGCACAGAATGAGCTGGGCTGGAAGGCCAGTAAAGCCTGTTCTGCAGTTTGAAATCCTCCGCAGGGACATACCACATATCCAGGGCTTGTGGCTTTTTCTGCAGCTCTTGACCCTAGTTAGCGTGGTTTAACCAGTAACTAGTGCACGGAATGACCCGTGTAGCCACAGTGTTTCACTGTCACATGTGTACCAAGGAGAGTAACTGCAGCAAAGGGAGGACCAGCGCTCTCCTCCGTGCTGTGGTTGAACTGAACTGTTCAGGGAGACTGAAGGACTCGCTGGACAAGAGCTGAAGAGGACAGCGTCCACTGCGTGAGCGTTTGCAGTCATCGGAGGGAGCTGCCGCGGGTGCCGGGCGCTGTGGCAGAAGGCAGAGTCTCGCATTCTTAAGATCCCGCTGGGTCACGTGAGGTAGCGGCCTGGGGACTCGCACGCACTTCCCAGGTCCAATGTAAGGCTTGGTTAAACCTTAGCAGGCTCAGAACGACACATCAGCGTGTGCTCTCAGGCTTGCTCTATTTTACAAAATGATTCTTCACACACTCCAGCATTGACTGTTTTTTGGTAGACTCCACAGGAGGATACTGAAAAGCTGTTCTTAGCATTTGTTAATTTTTTACTTTTTCCTATGTAACTGTTCAGAAATCACTCACAGTGTGGATTTTAAATATGTATATTTATACTTACTGTAAAATTAAAGCTAGACTTGGTGCTAAGTAGAATGATGTGTCTTCTCTAGAGGTCTGACAGCCTTCAGAGCAACCCGACTCAGAAGAAGCCACTCAGCTCAAGGCCAGGCGATTGCCAGCACATTGAGTGTGTAACTTCAGGCCCTTGCTAGCAGTGCAGAAGCAGCTTGGGGAAGGCAGCTGCCCTCGTACCGTGTTCTGAGCTCTGTCCCCACGCCCCGCCACGTTAGCACAGCCAGTACGCAGTGCTGAGTGTCGGTGTGTAGTCAGCGGTTCGTAAGTGAGGAGAGATGTTATTTCAATAAAGTGACCCCGTTGCTCAAGTGTCTCTGTGTAGCAGGGATGGGGCGTTGCCAGTGGCTGCTGCACGGCTGACCAAGGCAGAGCAGCCTTCTCTGCTTTCCTGTGCGACGGGAGCCGTGTCGCCCGGATGACCCTGGCAGTCGCTGTCACTTGACCAGAACGGTGGCCCGACACCTGCAGAGCCGCTGCGTCCAGGAAAGCGTTTCGCCCCCTAAAGCGCCGAGCGCAGACGTTGTTCAGTGCGAGATTTCACGGGTGCTGAGCGCCGAGGCCGGTGTGCAGAAGTAACGGAAGGCAGGTGAGCTCTGCATTGTGGCTGGCGCACGTAAACGGCGAGACGGGACTCCTGACGTCGAGGTAAGCGGGAAGAGCAACGCAAGGGACGAGTCTCCCTGCTCTCAAGCACCCAGACGGGGCTGGCAGCGCCGGCCTAGCTCACCACGCCCTCTCAAAGCAAGGGTGGCACAGACAGGAAAGCTGGTTACCTTTCTGATAAGGTCAACAAGCTCACTGTGACAGTGGCTGGGATTTCTTGGAAGTGCAAAAGGAAAGAAACGGCAGTGAAATAAGAATCATGGAATCACAGAACAGTTTGGGCTGGAAGACAGCAGACAGCACACCCTCCAGTCCAGGTCCTGCGCCGAACCGACTGAGGACCCCCGTAAGACCAGACCGGCCACGGTCTCACACCGCTGCCTGCGCGGCCCCGAGCCAGGACCCTGCTCCGGGCATCAGCAGAGCCCAGCAGCAGTGCTAAGGCCCTCGGGCCCTGTCAAGACAGGTCACACTGGTCACCGCGCTGGGTTCCCGCGCGCTGCCCTGCTGCTCCCCGGGCCGGCCTGGAGCGGGGACAGCCACGCACGGAGCTCTCTCCTCCAGCGCACACCCAGCCAGCAGCCCCGCCGGGCTCCGGCTCCCCGAGCCACACGTAAAAGCCACGTGTACCAGGCGCAGCGCGAGCCCCTGCTCGTTTTAAAGAGCTGGCTGCAGCCCTGCAACAACACAGCAGCACACGAAGGGTCTGGTCCTCGCACGCAACCCCACAGTAACCAGCCAGCGCCTGTGTCAGGGCAGGCAAAGCTGCGCTGAGGAGTTGTTTTTCTTTCCAGGGGCAATCAAGCACCACGGGAGGGAGCGTTACCCAGAAAGGCCCTCTCGACAGAGCCCGTCTGGAGGCACCCATACTCGCCAAGGAATTTCAAGTTCCCAGAATCAGCCGTTCATTAGCGCAGCGTAATGAAGCGTTCTCAGCACCAACCAGACTTCAAAGGGCTCCGTTTTCTCCACGCCTGCAGCAGCAGCTGAGCTTCCAAGCTCAGACCCCGGCATCGCATCCAGACCCGCTCCAGCCCACGGAGGCAAAGCACAGCAAACCCCTCGGACACACATGGCAGGGC